TTTATTTATCAATATATAAACATAAAATCACATTTGCAGTGAATCATAAATAAGGCAATGAAAAAAAAACAAAACTCAGTCTCTTATTGTCAAGGCCATTAAACTATTACAAATAAGAGTGCATCAGGGAGGTTGGCAGACAATGGAGATGTTAAAAATGTTAAGATGACATTTTCAATTGTACCATTATGGCTACCACCTTGTCTTTTTTGCCCCTTTCCATGGGCATCCTCCACTGAATGCACCCGATCTTTTAATGCATTTGAAAATAATTCTTTTTGCAATTGCTATCCCCTCTGATAGAGCCATGAGCTCACTTTCGGGAATCTTTCTTAATCTATTGTTTCACTAAGCATGGTTACAGCAAAAACTATGCAATATATAGTTACTTTTTGAATGCCTATTTTCCTAAATAGTATTATATCATAGATAATAAATGAATGCTTGAGACTTCATCCACTTTCCCTTTATACATCCATGCTATTTTTAATTCTGTCATTTTTGTGCTTAATATGACATTTAGCAACTAAAATTGATCCTGGGATAAGTTTTAAGCATCGTTCAATCTCATTTATCTGAACTGCTTCAGGGCACATATAAACCATTTCAATTACGAGAGGATGAATAAATAGAATGTCTCTTTATACAGGTCCCCGCTCACAAAGATTGAATTCAAATTATGAAACTTTGTGATAAGTCTGTTGCAACTTTCTCCATCCCAGTGCACTCCAAATGTGTTGGATTTCAATTCCCATGATCCCTGTCCACTGCAATGTTGAAGTCAGAACAGCTGAAGAACATCAGGTTTGGAAAAGTCTGTATCATTTTTGTTTGTGTAGAAAAGCACACTTATTCTCAGAAGATTTTCTGGTGCCTTTTTCAGCTTCTGTATTAGTAACATTTTGTATTTGGGAAAGCTGGGCTAAAATGACACTCCTTAAATATTTCTGAGACAGCAGTTATTTGGAAATAACAATGGAAGACATTAAAAAGTACTTGAACTAAAGATTATTGCTGGATTCACTCATTACATTAAGCTTTAATTTATTTGATGAAAAAGCCTTACTGACATGATTCATATATGATGCTTAGCCAATAAACCATGATTTAGAAATGACAGTGTCTAAGTCAGTCATGGCGAACCTCTGGCATGTATGTCAAAGATGACATGTCACAATATTTTGGGTGACATGCCAGAGTTCACCAATAGACGACAACCGTTTTCAAAAACATGCTCCTTTCATGCATGATTTTTAGAGGCTGTGGAAACTGCATAACAATAGAGTGTGATCTCCCACAGCCTCCAGATCTTCTGGAAATTGTGTGGCCTCCAAAGCTTCAGAAAATCGTGGAAGAACAGGCATGCTTTTATGCAGTTTTTGGAGGCCGCAGAAGAGCTTTTTCTGAAGCTGCTTAAAGAACAAAGGCCTTGTGCAAGATGGAGCAGCCTTGGATAAACCGCTGGGGCCTCTCAACGTAAAGACAGCACCGTCTGAAGGTAAGTATGTATAGCAGATCCCGGGGAGTGCTGGGCCATGGGGGCAATTGCAGTGCCAGCTTTTTGAGTAGCAGCAGTGGCACTAGGGCTGAAGTCGAGGTCTGGGCCTCCACTTTAGGCCCAGATCTCCACTTTAGGCACAGCCACCCGGGGCCACTGTTCAGGTTGGCCTAGATTGGGGGTTGGGAGACAGATAATCGTTTCTCTTTTTTCAGGTGTGTGTGTATGTGTATGTGTGTGTGTGTGTGTGTGTGTGTGAGAGAGAGAGAGAGAGGGGGGGGGAGGGAGAGGGAGAGGGAGAGAGAGAAATGCGAACAGTTTCAAGTTAGACATTTTCTGAATTTTTGACATGCCAAGTCCAAAGGATTTGCCATCGCGGGCTAAGCAAACACTACACATTAAGCCAAAGCAAAGCACATGCTGTAATGGGATATCATGATATGTGAACTCAGTCATGTAAAAGGGCACCTCCCTCAGGCTAACCAAGAATAAATTTGCCTCTTGAACGAAAATAGGCTCCCTTCTTCTCTGCTGTCTGTGTAATGATCCCAGTGGCTGTATACTACGCACTACTTGACTTTCAGAAGATCACTAAACATGTGCTAAAAAGAGGTTTACCACCTTTCCAAAAGAGTGTTAAATCTGTATATATAAGTTGTCATAAAATGCCAGTCAGACAATTGCAAAAGCCAAACATCTGATCTCTTTGCCAGCCAAAGCCACAATAGTGATGAAGGTAGTGCCCAGTTACCAAAAAAGGATATGCCTGGACCAGTGGTGGGTTTCAAAATTTTTTACTACCGGTTCTGTGGATGTGGCTTGGTGAGCGTGGCATTATTTGGTGGGCGTGGCTTGGTGGGCGTGGCAGGGAAAGGATACTGTAAAACTTCCATTCCCACCCCACTCCAGGAGAAGGTTACTGCAAAATCCCCATTTCCTCCCGATCAGCTGGGATTCGGGAAGCAGAGAATAGATTACTTCAACAATGGAATAGCTAAGTATTAATATTATTTATTTATTTATTTATTTATTTATTTGTTTATTTATTTATTTATTTATTTATTTATTTAGTTAGTTAGTTAGTTAGTTAGTTAGTTAGTTAGCTAGTTAAATTTATAGGGCAACCCAACACACTCTTCAGTGGCTCTGGGTGGCTTGAAAGATAAAAACCTAATATAAAACAATAAAAAGGAATAACCTTCTCCCCCTTCCCCCCCATGACAACAGTTAATTAAATAAGCCAGTTGTTACAAACAGAACACACCCCCATCCAATCAGAGCACAGCCAACCCGCCATCCAATCAGAGCACAGCCAAGCCCCCAACCAATCAGAACACACCTCCACCCAATCAGAACACAGCCAAGCTCCCACCCAATCAGTTCACACCCCCATTGGCAGTTAAAAGGAGGAAACAGCTGCGATCACACATTGCTCCTGGAGGCACAAAGCCGAAAACACCAGCCTGAAGATGACGAATGAGACTTCGTCGACACGTCGCCAAGACACTTCCAATTCTACGTGGGAGAAAACCCGAATAATCAAAGACCTACATACAAACACCCGCGAAAACCTCAGAATATATATATATATATATATATATATATATATATATATATGTATGTATGTATGTATGTATGTATGTATGTATGTATGTATGTATATGTCTATGTAAGTTTTCACTGGTATATATGTGTGTACAGTTAATATTTCGGGCTTCTTCCCGTGTAATTATGAACATATCCCTAAAACGTCGCTTCTACCGTTTTAGGGATATGTTCACAATTACACGGGAAGAAACCCGAAATATTAACTGTACACACACACACACACATATACCATATATATACTGTAAATATACTGTATCCTCCCTGTAAAGGTACAGTATTTGTTTTCTTTCCTTTTTGTAGGCTTTATGTGTATTTCTCTTTAGCCAGGATACATGGGATGAGGGTGTGGCTAACTGATGAGGACTTATAAGAAAGTCCAGAAAAAAAAAGCCTAGAAACTAGTGGATTGTGATTTCACCAAACTAGGGCTGCATAAAAAACTTGGTTTACATAGGAAGAACCTGGCTAAAGAGAAATACACATAAAGCCTACGAAAAGGAAAGAAAACAAATATACATATGTGTATATATTTATATTCATCATTTTAGCTATTGTCTACCCACTGCAGGAGGAAGACCTCTTCCTCAGGTTTCCAACCAATATGGCCCTGAGCTTTCTTTTGCCAATTGGGCCCTCAATACTTGCTGATGGCATAGATCCATCTTGTTTTAGGTCTTTTTCATGGATGCTTTTTATCAAGTGGGTTTTTATATATCACATTATTTGCCTCAAGACATGTTATCCTCCCCTGCCCCACCCCCACCCCCGTGTTGTTCCTCTGTTCAATATCTGGAATACTGCACTTTGCTTGTGCTTTACAAGATTTATATCAAATGGTGTAAAAGTGGATAAAATACAGGTAAAATTCTGTGAAATGGGTTTGTCTCAAAAGAAACAATTTACACATGATGTGGTCAGCCACTCTTGTACAGTCTACTGATTTAACATACCGTAGGTTCACTTTGTATAGTGTGTGAGCCTACTTGATTTTATTAAAGGTGCAAAATTGGACTTGGTTCAAATTCTCATTCAGCTATAAGGGTGACTCCCTAATCTTTGACCAACCATTATTTGAGAGAAGAAATTATCTATTGGTTCTGTCTGGAACACGGAAAGGAAAAAAAATACCATAAGAATAGCAAAATTGCATTCTCAGCCAACTAAACCAGAAGGCCTTAAATGTAGTACCAAACTAATCCAGTTTTGTTTAGAGTTATTTTTAGTTTGAATGTTAGTAAGGGAGGCAAAGTATCTGAGGGGCCTTTCACAACAGGACTTTTCTAAATAGGCCAATCTATGTGGTTATTTCCATTTTTTCCCATGTGGTTCCACAGGAGGGATTTAAAATGGTTAAACATAGGTGGGTCCATAATCCTCCTGAAAATGTTCAGATGTACATCAAAATCCAATTATCATTGCATAGTCTTAAATTCCCTTTCCTGGAGGTGGGAGAATGGAAAGAAGGCCTCAAAACTCTTTAGGAAAGTAGCTGCTAGCCTATTGTTTGAATGCAATCCTGGTGGGCCACAAATAGGAGGTATAGTTGCTCAGGTTGTGTGCAGCTATGGAGCTTCTCAGGAGCAAGAATGCAGGATCCAGATCCAAGCTCAGATTGCTAGGGGAGGGGTGAAGTCTTTCCTCCAAACTTCAATTTTGACTTTCTTCTCTGTGAAAGAAGTTATGAAACTGGTAATCATGGCTGATTATAAAAATGTACACACAACAATCACCAAAGGCGATTGATAAAGAAAAGTTATGAAATTAAGCAGCTATGTAGAAAAGGATGTTCTCTTGTATCATTCAGGTCAATATGTTTATCTTTGTTAAAACATCAGCATTGCTTTGTGTAAAAAATTGAAACTATAGTTAGGAAAACAAAAACAGGCTCAACCTATTTAGCCAACTGTCAATTTTACTTCTAAAACTTACTTCATAGACCAGTACATAAAGTTGTCTCCAACAGGTAAGAGATACATGCACCACAACAAACATTTTAGATGCTAATACAGTACATGTCTGATTCAAACAATACATGACCTGCAAACTATATAGGAGATTTAAGATTAAATAGAAGTTAGTTCAGTGCCTGTCAGGCTGTCTTAACTTGTAGTTCCATTATGACTGAATCCTGCATGCCATATGCATTCGAAATGAATATGATGGAAATCTGTGCAGTTTTAAAGGATGTAATTGGCATTAGATATAAACATTGTTATTTTTCAGACACGGAATGTACATTTTCATGCATCATTTCTAGGGAGTGCAAACGTAAGAAAAGGATACCTCAAATGTTCCTCATGCCAGCAATCTATTCCCATCATTGCAAAGCTTAAAAGGGATTCTGGGTACAAGCCAATTCTCCTCTTCAAGGACTGTACAAGAAGATAATCCTGTTTGTGCAGCTCCTATTCACTTCAACAGTTTCTTGATGGATCATGTTCCAGTAGTTAAATAAACCTATTCTAAACCCGGATTACACTTGTTTCAAACGTTATTTCTGAAGAATACAAATTTGGCTACCGAATTCAAGGAATGAAATGTTAAATTAAAGCATGTGAAAAGAACCCTTTGGAGCAGTCAAAAGCCTTTTTAACAGAACTCTGCAAATTATTCAAAAGAGGTTGCTCAGAACACATGTAAGCACGTGTTAAAGCAGCTGCATCTTTATTCAGAAACTGCTCTTGATGTTCTCCAGCTGAAAGCAGTTGCTTTAATGATTTGATGTTGCCTATGGGCTCCCCCTGTTCCAAAGCATTCCATTTAAAGGATTTGTCCAGCCCTCTATGTATCTAATAGAGCATCCTGACTTTTAAAAGGGCTGACAGAGACTTATGGGAAAATCCCAAGCATGATAGGAGTGCAGTGGCATTCATTGCATATGTTCCTTGGGTCTCACGAAATTCTGACTTTGAAATATTGACAGTCCTACATTTTGCGAGTCCCTTGTTTATTTTGCAAATGTTCCCTATAAAAATTCTAGTGGGGGCTTGGATAGACAGTGCAAAATGGGGATCACAGCTCAAATGGAGAAATTATATGGACCAATATTTACAGTACCAATAGAAGAGAATCACCTGTATATAAACGGAGAGCAAATCCCCATTCACTTCTATCACTGATGATGTTACCTAGTTGGTAATGAAATATCTGAATGAAAACAACCAAGCTCAGAGAGCACCAAGGACCCCATAATATATGTAGTCTTGAACCTTTGAGCATTCACATTAATAAGCCCCACTAAACACAAAGCCAAAAGTGTCTCAGAATAGACAGTGCTCAGAATTCAGGATATTCTACATTTGATGTATTTAAATATTCTGTTGGGTTAGGACAGAATAATAGCCCTTGTTCCCTAATGTGTTTTTCAATATAAAATAAAGAGCAGCTGGTAATACTTAAATACTGCTACTTTCTTCCCAGTAATCTTTCACTAGACGATTGAGGATTTAGATCTGAGTGTTTTTTAATCCTATCCAGCAATCCAGTGCAGTCATGAACCTATAGGTAAATGCAATTTTTCAGCGGAATAACTCCTTTTTAAGAACCTTCCAACAGATTGTCTGAATACTGTAAATTCCCAAATACTTAATATAAAATCATTCCTTCCCCAAACCTCTGTTTCTTAACACTCTGCAGAAACCAGCTAAAGATATTTCTTATGCTTTCATGAGTTTGATCCCTGTAGTTCAAATTTGTAATTCAAGGGGAAAAAAAGGCATCCAAACTCAAATAAATGAAGGCTTATTTTAGCAAGCAGGAATATAGGCAAGTCAGTAATTGAATGAGCAGCTTTTCATGGCAGGCTACTGGTATTTTTGTGAGTCACTTTACATAATGGATAATAATAAGGGCCACTATGATAATAGGTGCTGAGATAGAAAGGGGGAAGGATGTCAAAGATTACCAAACATTTTCCCTGATAGATTTTAGCTGCTATTTAACTGAAAAGAACAATCATGCTGTGGAAATCAATACTGCCCAAAGTTTGAAAGATCTTTCTTGAAACCCAACGGGCAGAACACATATATAACCATGGTGCTTCTCAAATACTTCTATCCCTGAGTCTATGTTGCCTGCTTGCTTGAAGACTGCACACATCACAGTTGCCAATGTTAAGAGTAACCATAGGCAACTTGGTGTTTTCTAGATGTTTTCAACTTCAACTCCCATCCACTCTGGAATGTAGGAATTGTCAAATATATCTTGAGAATATCAGGTTGCTTCCCCCATGTTAAGAGAATTGAAAGAGAATCAAAATCTTTCTCGAACTCTCTTCACAGTCAGCCAAATAAAGCCCATTTTTAAAACTCTCCCTAAAGCAAAATTACTTCCATTTTTTCCCCTGTATGTAATTGCAGTTACAGTGCAACTTTAAGACGTGAAGAGGGGAAAATGCACAAGTGCCCATGTTACAGATATTTCCAAAAAAACAACCATCCGTAGGGTTTTTCATCTATCACACAGCAGGCACAAGGGAGTCCATGAGAATGACAGGACCCTGTTTCAGTCAAGCAGGTTGTTGTCCACTTCATGCCAAGGACTTAAGTTCCACCTTGCTTTTGCAGTACATAAAGAGTGAAATATGGAAGTTGGAATTACAAACTCTCTTGAACCAAGCCTTATTCTCTTTACTCCCACAGAGATGTTTTCTTTGTTGGTTGAATTCATTCAATCACTGAAAAAAAGAAAGATAAAATTAAATCAGATTTTTTGATCTTGCCAGCTGTCACTGCTGCTCCTTAAGTATTTTGATCCGAGAGATAATTTAGCAAATAAATTATCTGAGCAACAGTCAAGGCAGGTATTTATCCAGTCCATTGGCAAGAGATCAAGGGTGGAATGAGAGGGGGGGGATCACTTTTGAAGTAGAGATTTTTTTTTTAAATAAGAAAGTTTCAAATTACTAAGTCATCTTATCAACAGTCTTGCTGTCCAATCATGTTATATTGTAATGGATTAGACATGTATAAAACATTGTTGAAACTAATAGGCCAGGCCTTTGATCCATGCCTGGACTACTAGGTAGTTTTAAGGGAAATAAGGATTGGGGTTCAATCATTGTATCAAAATGCATCTTCCTTATTTATTATTGCACATTAAGTAGGTATCTATAATGTTAACAATACAGTTAGTATATACACAGATATAGTTGGTATCCAGGAAAAAATCATAGGGGAGCAAAATGACCAGAGGTTTTAGAACTCAAATCGTACGATTATTGAAATGTCAGATGATTTGAGAAACAGCTGTCCCTCAAGAGAAGAGCATCTTTTATTGTATGCAAGAGATCCTATGCAGCCTCTGGCCTCTGTTCATATAGGAAAGCTCTGGAAGACCATCTATGCAAGCCACGTGAAGTGAGGTTAACTATTTAACCAGGCAGTTTGGCGATTCGAATCCCTAGTATAGGTCTCCTGCATGAGCAGGGGGTTGGAATAGATGACCTCCAAGGTCCCTTCCAATTCTGTTACTGTTACTATTTTTAGGTATTGGGGGGGAAAAAGATAGTACAAGCAACCAAGATTTGGTTGAAAATAGGCAAAGACTGTAGCTTGAAGTTTTATAGGCATCACCTTCATCTTTTTGTCTACTTCTTCCTATCCTGGTTTGAATTAACAGATTGCCATATGGAAAAGAAGAGACTCGATGGAAAGAGGTGATTAGCAGGACAGGCTTTCTAATTTGGTACCACAAAAGTAACCTCTCTTAGTGTCTCCTCTCCTTTTCCTGAGAAAATGCTGCTCAGTAGTAAACATCCATTTAAAGGAAAGAGAACAAAAGTGAAACTGTCAATGGCCCTTCACATATAGGGCTCTTTCTATGTGGCTGGCTACCTTTGCATCATAAGGTACTTCTGCCTTTGGTGTGTAGATGGCATATCTTATTAGTTAAGTGTGAAAATTTAGGTATTACATAAGCAAGGAGCCCCAAGGTACAGGCAGCTACAAGGTTGGTGTTACTGAGCTATTTGGAGATTGGCGTTCTATGAAAAAGAATAATCTTCTGAGAAATGTTAAGATGTTGTTGTGCAGATTCCAAGTATACCTGGAGAAAGATCATATTAACTTTGGTCTCTTTTCAGCTCTACAATACCATGACGTATGTAATTACCAGCTGGTCACAACCTATTGGGATGGAACAGTATGATAGTATCTATTGGGGTGATCCATTTTCCATGTAACACTTGAATTTGAATAAAGTTCTTAGATGAGGACAAAATAACATTGATTTGTTTTGAAACACTTAATTTCTAAAAGATTTCGTGGGCAAATCTGGACCCTACTAAGTGCTATCGGCTGATAAGGAAATAGAAATCGTGAAATATGACAAGGGGCTCCAATGTCAGAAACAGAGGGAGATACTTTCTAGTTGGATGTTGCAGAGAAATGGAAATAGATGCATTAGTTTCAGCTGCTAGAGAATTATATTCTGTACCTTTTAATTCTACATCAAACTAACATAACAATTACATAAAAATATCAGTCTATTGTTGAACAATTCTAAAAGCATTTAAGAGCAATATGCCCATCTCAACATGTCTTGTGTTAACAAATGCATAGAAAAACAGGGGATAGAGCTGAGTTGCAAAACAGAAACAATTCTTTATAATTGTCTTCGTCTTATTGGAAAAGTCTATTGTACTTTAAGATAATCTGATTAACACTGATTCAGGAGAATATTCGTTGATTAGGAAACATGCAAATATGCCCAGATTGGTTTTTTTAAAATGAAAGACTATTTGATTCAAGCTGATTCAAATATAAAGTTATTACAGCATACAACACCATTCAGAACCTTAAGAATCTGATGTTTTCCTGTAATATTAGTATCTGCTAACATTATTCATTTGTTTGGTCGGTACATTTTTCAAGACTTGCATTGCACAACTGCTTAAGAAAATGCAATGCACCTTCCAAAACCAGTTTTTTCCCCCAGCAATGCCGTTCTCTATTGAAAACATTGAAAAAATGACTTAAACACTAGCATTGTCTGAAAATGCTATTTTTAGTTAGTACCTGCTGTATTTTATTTTACTTTATTTTTAAGAGCTTATATCACAATAGAATTATATTACTAACTCTGGTAATATTACAGACTAAGAAATGATTAAAATCAGAAAATTTGTATTTGTGAAATAAAAGCATAAATCAGTAGTACAGGTTTTATTACTCTTCATTCCCAAATTGGAACAAACGAATTTGCAAAAAGAGATTTAGCAAAACTTGCAATACCGTAATGGTGTGTGCACATAAGAGTGGAAGCTTCATAAACAGTGGCATATAGTTAAGCTATAAACATTCTGAATAATGTTAATTACTTTATACACACATAGATTTCCATGCCATTGATTTAGTTGGAAATTATTTCCAGACCAATATGGAACTGGATATTGCTTATCACTATAGTAAACTTATTTGTGATTTATTAGACCTAGCACTTCACAAGCAATACCAAGAACGTGATATACAACTTTCCAAAAATTGCTAAAGAAAGTAAATGTATCTATTTAGAGCTGATATGCAGATTGGCATCACAGTTCATGCATTCCAGTTTTTCAAAGAATAATGTGTTTAATATACTTCCTGGACTATCACAACAGTCAGACTGAAGGTGATACTATGGTTTGCAAAACATCCTTCCTTATAAATGGGCAAAGAGACACATAAAGTCATAGACATGCACAAGTTAAACCATAAAATATACATTTGCACAGATGTTATGTTATTCCTTATGAATATTAGCTATGGTTTGAAGACTAGACTTGTATAATATTGTCTCCAGCTTGGTGAACAGTTATGTCAGCCTCCCCCCTTGAGGTCTGAAGATGTACAACCTCTCAATTGAAAACTAAGGCCATGCTGACTTCAACAAAGTTGTTTTATAATCAGACGCTATTGCTAAGCATACTTATTTCGGAGTAAGCCTACCACTCCACAGGACCTATGGCTTAATTCTATCATTACATTAGTTTTCCAAAAGTATGTGCTTCTAGATCCATGTTCTAATTATTGCAGCTTAGATACATTAGGTACAATTTAGTCAAATTAAATACTTGGAACTCTGTTTTTCCACAGATGGGTTGTCATTGAAACTCATGCTACATTATGGTTGGGTTCATGTGTTAAGCCACCATTGGTTTAATCATAGTTTGTTGAATAAATAATAGTTTACTGGGTTCACATAAGCTGAGCAACAATGAAACAATCCATATTTTAATTCAAGAAATATGTGTTTTCAGTTTAAGATTTCTCACATGCATCTGGGAGTAATTCCCACCGAGTCACCAAAAGTAATGTTTGCATAGATTTTTTTAAAAAAGGTGCAAGTGCCCATTATTCAGCAGCAAGATCCTGCTCCCAATTTCAGCGATTGCTCCAAAAATCAGTGTCATTTAATCCTTTATCTTTCCACTTAAGAGTTGTTGTACAGCCACTCCTAGGTCACAACAGACTGTGTAAAATGAGACTGCATAATAAGAGAGATGGTAGTTCGCATGCAGTTTAACCAAAAAAAAGTGCAAATTATTGTTAACTTTGCATTTTTCTAGCCTTCTAAAATTAAACTACGTTGATGACATGCTTCCAAACAAATCTTTTTTAAAAACAGGATGTTTTTTCATATTTTGCACAATTTTTAATCAAAAAGGAAAGAATATCATGTTGGGGTCTTAACTTCCTTATTATAAGAGGATAGCCTGCTGCAGAAAAACAGAAACATTTATTGACTTATTTAACAGTGCACACTCACTTCATATGAAATTTATATGAGATGAGAATTCCTTAAAAACACCAGTTTTCACATAAATTGCAAATGCTTGTATTTTTTTACCAAAAGCAAAACCATACCACTGGTTTGTACAAACAACCAAGGAAAGAGCAAGCATGCAAACAACCGATTTACTTGGCTAAGGGGTATGATTTTACTTGGGCTAAGGGTTTTCCCTTTTTGCATGCTTGCGGTTTACTTGCTTGTCTGTACATGTCCCTTTTCTAAGTACGTATGGAATCTATAAACCTTTTCACAATTATGAGGCACAAAAACCAACCTTCCAGCAATCGGTAAAATGTTTCTCTCTCAAAAAAAGTTGAGGCAGTCTTTGTTGAATGGTACTTTTTAATATATGCTCACTCTTTGAAAATATCAAGAGGGAGAAACAAAGAGGGAACATTCCTTATCTGTTTAGATGCTAAGAAATATCCAACCACAAGCTGGCAGCGAGTTGCAAAGGAAAAATGCTGGAAAGTAGCAATGGCACAGACTGCCTAACACCATGCACCACGTTCATAATAACAATAATATGAATGTTGTGCAGGGAAGCATAATTCTCTGCACAAGTGAAGTCTCTGATGTCTAGGTGAAAAGGGGAAAGGAAGCAGGTAAGGGCAAGAGTTAAAGTCTACATTTCATGCAGGGCTATTATGCATCAGGCCCATTTCCACATAGTACTTCTTCAGACATCTGAGTTGGAGTTGTGGGTTGTTAGCCTGGGATCTGTGTTGATCTCGTACCTGTAGTGATAGCCCTCCATGTGGTCTCTACAGGCATCCCTGATGTTATACATCCACTTTTTGATCCCCTTTCGGTTCAAATATAAAACCAGGAGGAAAATGGCACCAATGAGAGCCAAGACTATCCCAAGGAAGACATATGAAGTCTGCAGTGGGGTCTGGTCATCGATCACAAGGGGGCAGTCGAGTTTGGACACATTGATGCTCACCAAAGAGCGTCCTTGCAACTCCTGGGGAGAGGAGCACTCGAGGGACCCTTTAGCCTCGACCTGCTTGCTCTCCTTCAGCCAGTTCACCAAGTCCTCAATGTGGCAGTCGCAAACCCAGGGGTTGTCGCTGAGATTGAGGGACAGCAAAGGGAGGCCCTGGAGCTGCTGGAGGGTGTCGTTCCTCAGGGTCTTGAAACCGTTGCTGCCGAGATCGAAGGTGCGCAGCTGTTGGAGGCTCCCCAGAAACACGTTACGTAAACTCACCAGGGAGTTATTACGCACGTCTAGGTGCTCCAGACTGGGCAGTGCGGAGAACATCCTGGCCGGCAGATAAATCAAATTGTTATCAGACAGGTCCAAGTGCTTCAAGTTGAGAAGTGTGCCCGTCTGGAGCAGCTCAGCCACAAGGACCACAAAACTGTTGTTGTAGAGGGAACTACTCAGGTACAGTTCTTCCAAGGGGCTGCTGGTATTGCCCAGGGCCATGGGGCTGAGCCAAGTGAGCAAATTGTCGCTGAGGTCCAACTGCTTTAGGTGGGGCAGCTCAGCAAAAGTCTCCGCGCCCACCCAGCCCAGCTGGTTACCCCTCAGGTCGAGGAGGGTGAGCTCCGAGAGGGAGGCGGAGAGGAAGGAGGCAGAAGAGAGGTTGCTGATGCTGTTATGGGTGAGGAAGAGTCCCTGCACGAAAGGCGGCAGCTCAGATGGTACCTCCGTCAAGTTGTCGTTGATGCACTTCACTGTTCGGTCTGTCTCGAAGCACTCACATAGCGCAGGGCAAGGGAGAATTTGCGGTTGTGGCTGCTGTGCCCAAACCCAGCCTGAAAGGACCAGCAGGAGTAACAGCTCCAGCCCCCCAGCTCCTCGCCTCTCCCCACTTAGCGCAGGGGATGCACAGCCCCAAAGAGAGCACCCCAGCATCACCACCTCTTGTCAGGGACTGTTCTCCTGCGGTGCTCCCTGGGCTGTCTCCGTCTCAAAAGGATCTTTGGTTCCAGTCCTCTGAAAGCAATCTTCTTGGGTCAAGCAGAAAGGCAAAGAAAGGAAGCCTGGAGAGAAGGTGCGAGTGTCTCCGCGCGTGCAACCAGGCTGAGACGCCACAGCGGACTTGGAAAAGTAGGAACAGCCCTAGGAATGGAGCAGTTCTCTTTCACGTCTTGCCACCCTTGAAAAAAAAAAAGCAGAAAAAAAAAATGGGAGGAGGAGGAGGAGGAAGAGGAGAGGAGTTTGAACCAAGCTGGGATGAGGAAGAGAGATCATGTTTTCTTCCCAGACTCTGCCTTCCTGGATGCTGCCAGCGCACTTCTGCTTCTCAAGATCATTTCCCCCTTCCCAAATGCCACCCCTCGAGTCAAACCACAAAACAGCCTGGACTGCAAAAAAAAAAAGAAGAAAAAGAAAAAGAAAAAGAAAAGAAAAGAAAAGAAAAAAAAAGAAAAGGGGAAAAAAAGAGAGCAGTCCTTGGATTCCTTTTGACATGTTACAGCAAGTTTTGCCAACCTGCCTGTGTCTGACAGAGTCTCCCCCTTGGGCAACCTTACCCAGTGGGGTTTAATAGCAATGTCTCATCACCCTGAGCAGCAGGGGATAATGGCCATTGTAGTCCAAATACCTGAGGGCCTCTGTTTGGGGTAAGCCCGTTTATTAGATCTAATAGTAATATATTCATTTTCTCCCTTTGCTCAGGAGCTCCAATGTCTACAGGACTCCCTCTTCCAATCCACTTCCCCAACAACCTTGTGAGGTAGGCCAGGTTAAGAGTGGCAGTGACTGGCCAAGAGCCGCCCAACAAGCTTCTACTGGCTAAGAATGGCCTTGAACCTGCGTCCTCTTACCCTAACCACTACACCACACGTTCTTTCCTTTACAACGTCTACGGATACAAAACCATACCGGCATGAATTGCTGCTACTGGATAAAACGCTGGGATTCCCACCCCCGCCGGTATCCTTTCGGAGGACTGGATTCGCTACGGGCCAGCAAGTTATTGCGGTTCTAGTCCCTACGGAGGCCATGCTGAAAAGCAGCGCCTTAATCCGCGTTCGTTTTTTTTTTTTTTTTTTACAATTACCAAGAGTCACGGTTTTTGTTCAATCCCGCTCCAACCTAAGAAAAGTTGCCGGGGAAAAATGTGCAACTTTTCGCAAGTCCCCTCCGTTGCCCCAAAGTCGTCGCGTTCATTAATCATGCCCCCCCCCACCTTCCCCTTCCAACTTTTCCCAACAAATAATTTCCCGCCACACCCTTAAAAAAAAAAAAGCTCCACGGTTTCCCAAGCAACAACCCATCCTTCGCCCTAAGGATACCTCCCATCCTGGAGGAAGGCGAAGCCGGCGAGCTCCGGGGCTGCCCTTTTGCCAGGGAAAGATGCGCGGGATCGAACCCTCGGGGCCAGACATCCCCCCCCCTGCTCCTTCAGGGGAGAGGGGGGGGGCGTAAGCGGGGAGGGATGATTGAACCTGGGACTTGACGGGAGACCGGACTCGTCCCTCTGCCTTCTGGGCCGGGAGGGCGAGGACGCTGAGGAGAGGCTTGGGCTTGCGTAGCTCAGCCGAGGAAAGGGGTGGAATGCAAGAAGAGTCCTTCGTCCCGGACGGCGCCGCGCTTGCCTTGCCCAGCCCCGCCGGCATTAGCTTACCTGTTTCGCGCCTGGGCTTCAGCTCCGCCAGTCCCGCGCAAACTCCCGGGCCGAGTGGGAACTGCATGGCGCAGGCAGCAACTTTCCCTGCCCCCCACCCCTCCCGGCTTGCCTAGCCCAGCCTCCCGCTGTAGGAGAAAGCCAATGGCAGGCGCGGCCTCCGGGAGGCAGCCCGGCTCCGCGCACCACGCCCTCGGTGGCAGCGGGCGGCCGCTTCTCGCCTTCCCCGCCCGGTTTACTTTGCAAAGAGGCGGCGGCAGGTGGGACTGGTTGGCGATTCCTCAGTCCCCCCCCCCGCCTTCCCTCCACTCCGGTGACGCCGCGTTTGCACCGCTGTTATGTCTGAAGGATCGCGGAATATAGGAACCCCCCCCCCCCGCGGAGGCTGGCGGAAAGCCCTCTGCACGAACTCAGAGGTACTCTTGGCAGCTCAACTCTCGACATCTAAAAGGGCAATTATGTGCTGAGTTCAACGCTGCGCTCGGTCTACTCGCAACAATGCACAACGCCCATCCTTGTCTCTTCCCAACGGGCCTGTGTGGTAGGTTAAGTTGGCCAAAAGATAACTGAGCATCCGATTCAGAGAGAGGCACCCAGCCAGCTGTGGTACCCAGGATGCTACTGCCATAGTAGGCTGGGTGCTATCCTAGGCGGGGCGAATTTAATCCTGCTTGAAACAACATCCTGGCTGGTACTGTCATGCTTTGGAGCAGGGGTGAAATCCAGCAGGAGATTCTGGAGAACCGGTAGCGGAAATTTTCAGTAGTTCGGAGAACCGGCAAATACCACCTCTGGCTGGTCTTAGAGTGGGGTGGGAATGGAGATTTTGCAATATCCTTCACCTAGGAGTGGGGTGGAAATGGAGATTTTGCAGTATCCTTCCCCTGCCATGCCCACCAAGCTACACCACGCTCACCAAGCCACGCCCACAGAACAGGTAGTAAAAAAAAATGTATTTCACCACTGCTTTGTAGCCACAACTTTTGGCAGAGCCTTTTAAACTCTGCTGAGAAGTCTAACTCTGACCAGGGAAGTTTTCTGAGGAGATAAGAGCCTGATAAGAGCCTGGTGGTGCAGTGGACTAAACTGCTGCTGTTAAAGTAATACTTAGCTGCCAGCTGCCTGCAAATTTCTGCGAGTTCAATTCTCGCCAGGCTCAAGGTTGACTCAGCCTTCCATCCTTTCGAGGTAGGTAAAATGAGGACCCAGTTTGTGGGGGCAATAAGCTGACTTTGTATAAAATAGAACACCGCTCGGGGGGGGCAAAAAGCCCTACTAAGCAGGTATATACAAAAGTATGAAGGCTATTGCTTACTGCATTGTAAGCCACCCTGAGTCTCCGGAGAAAGGCGGCATATATAAATCGAACTAATAAAAAATAAATAAATAAATATCGTAAGACATAATGAATGATGCTGGGTTAGATGCTGTCCTGATTTCACAGCTTTTGCTCTTTTTGTATCTAGGGAAGAATGGAACAAGGAGCTGTTTAAACAAAACAAAAGCATCCCTATACCCTGTGGCTGTTGCACCTTAAACTTTACACGTAAGAGCTGATTTCTCCTATGCCAGAAGCCTGAAGAATTTCTACAAGATCCAGAGATGTGAAAGATAAGATTACACTGTAATTGTGGGACCAGCTTTTTCCTGTTTCCTGAAGGACAGAAAGCTGGTACTTGCTGCTAACCTCAGCCAATATGAGAAGACAAGTTTTATGGATGCCCGAGATTGCTATAATGCCTGTGTCAGCTCAGGACCAAGTGATCCTCCTGAAGAGAAATGGTTTCTTTGGCTCCTCTTGCATTGTTCTTTTGACCATGTTTGAAGAAAAAAAAAAAAATTTACTGTCTTATTTCACGATTTTTGCATTTATGACTGACTTTCCTCGGTAGAAGATGAGTTTAACCCAAATAGATCTGATCATTTATCACAAAAGAGATCCAACCCTGTGTAAAGGTATAATTGAAGGTATAATTGAGCCAGGAATAAGCTTATATGAGCTTATTCCTAGCTCATATAAGGGAAGAGAACAAGATTTTTTAAAGGACATTTAAAAAGAAAAAAATATATCAGTTTCTCTTGAAATAATGTCTCAGAAACGAGTTGGGGTCAGTTGAGGAAGTATTCAGAGTAGTAGTTCTGATCAGCCATTTTCATACATACCATTTGGACATGGGTACGTATTCTGTCACAGATAAAAAAAAAAGGTTGGGCATTTTAAATCAATTTCTGAGATCCGCAAATGCTGATAGAGGGTAATATATGTTTAAGTCCCTAAGTGAATGATTGAACAATTAATCTGTGACAGGTGTCATCTGCATCTCAAGCCTCATTAGACAGACAGTTGCCCCAAAGTTTGCCTTGCTTTTCAGCTATGTTAAAAAAAAATGAGGAAAAAATGTATATGCTACTGAACCTTTATAATCTGAAAGTCGAATGATAGCCTGGCTATATATGTGGGTATCAAGTTGGGGAGAGTGGGTGAGAGTGGGAGATGGGGGACAATGATAAAATGTGTCACTACAGAACTGCTGCCTCAGTGTTGCCTGCAAGTACATAAGTGGTAGAGCTTGTGTTGTGCTGTCATGACACACATTTCATCATTTTGACAACATCTTGGCTTGCTGCGGATGTCCCTGGCTATTCAGATGGATCCATAGTGAGTCAGTTATGCTCTTTTATGACAAGGTTAACAAAGCCAATTTTAATGAACATGGCTCTTGCTTTATACTTTGGGGAGTTATCAACTGACTGGTGATTGGTCATTTTACAAAATCCCATTAAGGCTGGGGGTTTTGGGGGGTGAGAGGGGCTGGCTCTACTGAGAATTGCCTGTATATTAAAGGCTTTGTGGCTGACACCCGAGTGAGCCACTGAACATTTGCGCTGGCAGATTGGGGGCAATGTCTACTCTGTTCTTCTCTTTTCAGATCCCATTGGGAGTAATGAAAACCAAACTGCAAAAAATGCTACATTTCTGAAAAAGGTGACCAGAATGCAGCTCAGAACAGAGATGAAAGGAAAATAAAGCAGGACCCATTAGTATACCCCTGGATAATTTGTTGTACATAACAAGGTTTCTAACCTCCATCTATGGAATCATGGAACTGCAACAAACACTTCATCTTACTTTCTTCTGAGTTAGGTTTATTGGCTTATTTATTAGATTTCTATGCTGCTTTTCGTCCAGAGCTTACAGAGATGCATAGAATACTCTGTCCTCTGTCCACCTGCCAACTTAATATTGCTTAATAAATCTCCATACTTAAACTGGGTTTCCCATATTTTAATCCAGCACCTTAACCACCATGCCACTAGTCCCTTGCAGTTGGCTAGAATTGGTTTATTATTACTGGGATATATGTTATCCCAGTATATGTGAAGTAAAGAAATTATGGAGGGCAGACATGCTAGTCTATGGTAGTAAAAAAAACCAGGTAGTAAAAAAGGTAGTATTGTATCAGGTAATAAAAATATCTATACTGTAGCACCTTTTAACAACTTTATTAAAAGTTGTATGTTTTCATGAGCTGTAGATCACTGCATTAGATGCATAGAGTAGCTAGACTGATGAAGGATTTAAATGGGGTGAAATGGGAGAGAGGGGAAGGTAGGTTGATTATGCACTCACACGTGAGACATTACAAGTACATGTACTATATCAGTTAACAATTACAATAAATTAAAAACTCACTGGGTTTCTTGGGAATCTTCTAATATTTATGTGAATGGAGAGAAAGGAGAAGATCCATTGTTTGAATTGTGATTTGCTTAATATATGTAGGGCATTTTCCATGTATTAGAATTTTATTTGGGATCCTCATGAAAGAGGATATTTATGCAATGTTTTGTTTGTCACAAATAGTCACAATATTTTTTAGAGAGTTTCTAGAGACAACTCAATCAATCAATCAATCAATCAAGGTGAAGGTTCGTTCTCTGAGCTTATGGGTTGGCTTCCAAATGTTTTGTTACCAGGGTAGGTAACATCTTCAGTGGAGTTTAGGAGATGTCAGTGTCAGTGTTCTTCTGTTTATAAGGGCTTCAGGTGTTGGTGTGTCAAGTGAGGGTCTAGTGATGGGTCAAGAGTGAGTCATCATTGAGTCTTGTGATGGGTCTTGTAATGAGATTACATCAAGTCAGGGTCATTGGGAGGTGAACTGCTGGTGGGGTTGTGTGGGTTGGTGCTGTCTCTGGTTGGCTGTGCCGGTTGATTTGGATTCTGAGGGGTTTATAGGCTGGTTGTAGGTCAATGTGTTTGTTGATGGAATCGCTTGTGGAGTGCCAAACTTTGATGAACGCATGAGTGTGGTGGGCAGTAGTGTGGCCGATGATTTTTGTGTTGCTCCAATTGAACTAGTGCTGTTTGGTGTCGGTGTGAGTAGAGATTAAGAATTTGGTATCATGGCGTTTGACTGCCAGCTAGTATTTGTGGGTCCTGGTTTTTAATTGATGTGATTTTTGTTCCATGCAGAATTGGTTGCAATGGTTAAAATTGATTTTGTAGATTACATTGTTTCTTTCATCCCTCTGTATTTTGTCTTTGGTTCTGGATAGTTCCTGGCGGAGTGTGGCTGCGGGTTTGTGGACTACTACCATTCCTAGGGGTTGGAGGATTCTGGCTGTCATTTCCGACACCCCTTTTGTGTATTTCGCAAATGACAGCCAGAATCTTCCAACCCCTTGGAATTACATTGATTACATTTTTCTTTCATCCTTCTGTATCTTGTCTTTGGTTCTGGATAATGCCTTCTGGATAATTCCACACTCCACTGAAGATGTTACCTAGCCTGGTAATGAAACGTTTGGAAACCAACCCACAAACTCGGAGAATGAATTTTCACCCTCATAGATATAGTCTCTTTCAGGCAAAGATTTTTGAACTACTTTTGACCTCACCCCATTCCTAAGAGGTCTGTAAGGGGTGTGCATAAGAGCACCAGCATGCCTACCATCCCTGTCCTAATGTTTCCTCTGTTTGTATCTATTTTTATGTATTCAATTCATGCTTATAGTTATATAAATTACCTAATACGTTCTTGACAAATAAATAAATAAATAAATAAATAAAATAAACAAGTCAATTATTTTCTTTTTTGAAATAGGCTTGGAAGCGGACATTCCAAAGATCTGTTTCAAATCTTGGTGGAACCTGCTTTCCTAGGTTCCATGGAGTGACAAAGGGTTTTGTCAGCTATTTGGAAAGGCTGCAGGACCAGCTCGCCCCAGAGGATTAATCTCCCCTGCTAGCTCCTACGAGGCAGCCTTTTGCAGTCGTTTCATAATATAAAAGTGCCAGATTTCTTTAACTCCATTTTGGATCTGTCTTTTTCAAATACTAGATCCTAAAATATGTTGTTCTTCTTGGCAGTAGGGTTGGTGGCAGTGGAGTGAACCTTGTTTTGTATCCTTTTTTTTTTTTTTTGTCTTAGTGACTGTTTGCAAGAAGAGGGTTGTGCTTTTTAAATTGAGGATTAACTTGAAACCTCCGTGCTGATTATCAGCGGGAAAATACGAAAGCATTCTTGAATAAAAAACTTCTAATTTATCTTTCCCCCAAAATAATAGGAGAGGTAAGGGTAACCTGGGTCTTCCAGATGTTGTTAAATTGCACTGCTCATCTTCTTTCAGCTTTATTAACTAAGACTGATAGATTTCTTTTTTTTAAAAAAAAAGTTTTTTATTTTGAACACATTAAAACAAGACACAAACACACAACATTTATATACATATCACTTATTTCTTCAGCTATTTCAAGGTGATCCTTTCTTGCTATTTACATCTATTTACACATATTTTAAATTTTGTCTTATTCAACAATTATTTTCCATCTTTCTTTATTTCGTCTATATTGTACCTTGATCTTCAACATTTTTTTTCTTTTTTTTTCCTCCCCCCCTCCTTTATTCCTCTTTCTCATTTTTCCTATTCTCCAACCATTCATACCATCTATACCACACTAGACTGATGGATTTCAACATCTGGAATGAATATATACGAGTATAGTGGAATCTCTCTCTCTCTCTCTCTCTCTCTGAGTCCTAAACTGAAGGAAGCCATGGCAAGCCATTCCAGGATTTGTCTACGCAGTTGCCATGAGTAAAAACTGACTTGAAGTTTTTATATTTGAAAACCAACTTTCAATTTATTATTATTTAACACCTGAAAAGAGTGTACTCATTCCAGATTTTTTTTTTAAAAAAATTCACACTAAAGTTTGGAAAAGACATTGTCTGGATTCTTAAATAAGTGAGCAAATATCCTCAGTGTTTCACAAAATGGCTCAACGTAGAAGCCTCTTTGATTTCTACAGTTCTGCCTTATTAGTGCTACTCTGCTCTTTACTTGGAACAAATGAACTCTGTTCTTTCTGCATCCAGGAGAAAACGTATGAATATAACTTCACAACTGATGACCTCTACTCCTCTAATATGCTGCCGATTTTTAACTAGTGTCATATTGTCAAGCAAGCAAGAACCAGCAAGATTAACTAAGCTGCGGATCCACAAGTCAAGCCAGAGGCAAACACGTCCTTCCCTTCTTGCATTGCACTGAGACTTTTGGAGCAGGGAAAAACCTGTGTGAAAAGATCTGGGGAGCCACTGCTTTGCATGGGTAAGGACTGCATTTGGCTTTGGCCTTATTACTTCATATTCTCTTAGCAAAAGAGAGGCTCTGAGATGCCTCCAAAAATCTGAGAAGTGATGCCATTTCAAAAAAGCATGTATTTCCGCCTTAGACAAACAAATGGAAAACAAATGATTGATGGGTGGCTCTAGAATTTAGGGGGGGAAATTGTAATATAGAAGAGCAGAAAATTTTCATTGCAGATGTTCTAGAATCTATCCTGGAAAGGTGAAGTAAAATTGGGTGAGACTGTTTATTAGATCTTTTAGTTTTCTATCTTTCTTATGTAGTTCAGACATCAGCCACTTCTTGGATGCCTATAGCCAAGATAAAAAAAAATGGCAGAAAATGTGCAGAATACCCAAATAACCCAAGTGGTAATCAGATAGGTTGAAGATGAAAGTAAAGATGACTATTAATCTAGAATAGAATAATGTATTCTATTAATAACATTAAAAGCAGTATATTTCTGAATTACAGTTGGATAAAACAACATGATGGTGCATAGTACCAATGCCCTGTTTGTAGGCTTTAAAGGGGTGTTGAATTAACTATTAATTATTGAACTCAATGGAATTTTGATCTGATCCCATAGGTGTTTCTTACAACTTGTAATGAAATTGTAGGGTTTTATGAAAGTGAAACATTCATAGTTTGTTCACTTTCTGCATTTCCTTTCGACTTTCATATTTAGAATCCTTTCTTCTTGTGAAAATGTATCTGGAATCTAAGGCGATACACGATTTTATAAAGTGAGCTCTAATAAACTAGTTAATCTTGATGCAGTTGCAAGGTTTTGTTAAAAACCCCCGCATCTACTGAGATTTGATTAAACTGGAGACCTGTTGGATTGTTTGGTAGCGAACACGCTTCTGACATCAATCAATTAGGTTCTTGTGATGTGATGCAGAATGAGTGGCTCATCTATTTGCCATGCAGCTTTTATGAGGAAAAGGAATATCAGTTTGCCTTGGAGTAAAAATCCCCCATGGTGCAGGCTGACAACAAGAAAAAGCTGACAGATGCAGTGTTGGCTTCCTAATAGAAAAAGAAACTCTGGAATATTGTGATCAGTCTATTTCTAGGACAGACTATTTTTTAATTGGCCATTCTTATCCAATGTCAGTGCAAACTAGAATTCACGAAGAGCTTCAGTCCCATAGCCTGTATTTCAACTGATATAAAGATTTCATTTGGAATGGCAGACTATATTGATTAATTGAATAGTGACCAAAGTCAAGTCAAAATCAGATATATTTCATAAGATTTTTAGGGTCTTACTGTATCAATCTTTATTGTTGAATTGGGCCACATTTCTGCAAAAGGATACTGTATTATTTGTACAAATTCCTGTTCTGGCTGAATCGTTTTTTTAAAAAAGTTTTAATATCATTTTTCCCTAGAAAGAAAGCAACATCGTATCATTATCTTTCTCCTTGGACACAAAGATTTTACTCCTTTCCTAGCCAGTCTGATTCCCCAGCAGACAGTTGGAATTTGACCTAGTTGAACAAAAGTGGAAGTGCTACAAATTCAGTCTGAAAAAAAGAATACTGGACAATTGATCAGAAAGGAGTACTGTGATTAGACCAGCTTTCTCCAACCTACTGCCTACAGTGCCCTCGTCCTCTGTCAGCATGGTATATTGGCTTGAAATGATGGTTATTATTCATCCCACTTATGAGAACATCACCTTGGAAAAGATAAATGAAAGAAACGAGAACATACACCATGGCCAAAAGGATCAAACAGCTTCACCATCTTAGCTTGTTAAACCCAGATAGATAGAATTGAACCATAATACAGTAATGAATATGAAGTTTTGTTATATGAAATGTAGAGGAACTTTTCTCAGAGAATGTAAGTTTTGTATTTATCTTGCCCTCAGTCTAAATGAAATTTGTCCACCACTTTTAGCTTACAGTCGCATTAGTAAATATGATAAGGTCTATAGATTTGATTGGATAGCTGTGGCAAAATGTTACTGGCATAGTTTATAATAAATAGGTACCTAAATACTCTTCTCAAAATGTTTTGAGGATTTTCTACTGTATATTTTTTGGCTATTTCACAAAAAGAAAAAATGCACAAGCCTGTCACTAACAATAACGGTAAGAGTCTATTGTCTAGATGGCCTGTTTTTTTCATTTTATACACACTAGATTGATGTGAATTGGTAAAATCATTATGATTTCAGGTTCAGAATGTTCTTGTCTTGGAATTTATTTGTGGCATTATATTTAGAGATCGCTGTAGCTCTGGATCTACCAAAGAAAGAGAGTTACTTTTAATAGGTATTTTCAACAATTCAGCAAAAAATTCATATGTGATAATAGCATTGAATAGTTTCACCTTCAATACTGGAAATTGGAAATTAAGGTATCTCAATGGTGACATCTTGTGGCTAAAACAATACATAGATGCTCAAGCACTTGCAGACAATATTACTACTATATTAACAGTACTACTATTATCTGACAAATGGATTAATGACAGTTCTTAATATCACAAGAATGTAAATCCATTTATTAAAATCAATCATATTAACTGAAATCCCATTTAACTCAATATAACAAGGTAACATTGTTTAGGTGGTCCTTGACTTATGGCCATTCATTTAACAATGGTTCTAAATTACATTGGCCATGAAAAAGTGACTTACCAGCCATCCTCAGGGCTACGACTGTTGCACCACTTCTGCAGTCATGTGATCACAGTTTGGATGCTTGGCAACTGGCTGGCATTTGTAAGGCTCTATGAAGTGGTATATGAAATGCTATTGTTATTGCTAAGTCCTGTCTTTATTTGAAGGTTTTGTTCTACTGGCCTATGTAGGATGTATGCTACATCTTCTCTGATGTTCTTAAAAAGATGGGCTGTAGTCCTGCAGTCCTTTTATTTTGTCCACCAGTAAGAAGACAAGCTTAGCATTTGCAATAGGAGTAACTAGTTTACTCTTCTAGTTTGGAAACTTGTCACTCATCTGGTAAATCACCAGTGCTGGTCAACTGATGTCAATTTTTTTGGGCAAGATTTGAGTTATCCTGTTCCTCCCTCTGCTAAAGATCCTCACAAAACTCCTTTTGTTTGCTTTCTTGTTCACTTGCTTTGGTCCCAAAATTCCAGCTGCCTATACTTTTTCTAAAGAGCATTGGCTAAAACTGAAATCTGTATGTATGAAGTCAGCCCTATATCAGTTATGAAAACAAAGACATCTCTGAATATTTTTTCTGTTAGGTCAGCCATCCTTCTAACAGTGCTGGGACTACAATACACAAATTGTGCATGATGACTGCAAATTCTGGGATGTGTACAGCATTTAGTGTCTTCTTCACAGTTATGTTGTCCCTCCTGCTGTTATATTTTGTGAGGTGGGTTATATTTCTGGAGATTTTGTCATTTTCAGTCCTAATTAAGCAAAGTCCACAGTCCCTTTTGCAATGCTCACTGCATTCATGCAAGGAAACCATGAAGAGGCTAGCAGAGCTTAGTGCCAAAAAAATAAATAAATCATATACAGGTAGTTCTTGATTTACAATCACAATTAAGCCCAAAATTTGTTGCTCAATTGTTAAATGAATTTTGCCCCATTTTGTGACCTTTCTTGCCACAGTTGTCAAATGAATCACTGCAGTTGTTAAGTTAGTAACAGATCAGTTAGGAGAATGGCTTGCCTTCAGAATTGTGGGTGCTTTATCTCTAGGTTTTTAAAAGAAGAGATTGGATAATTAATCTCATTGTCTGAAATAGTATATTGAGCAGGGGGTTGGATTAGAAGTCTTCCAAGTTCCTGAGTTCATATAACAAAAAATAAAACTGGGTTGCTCAATTTGGGCTTGTATATTATGTAAACATAATCCTCTCTGCTCTATCAGTGAATTGGCTAATGGAGCCAAACAAATTGTTGTGCATTGTGTTCTGTGATGTTATTTATATACTGGGGATTTCAATCTGAGTGTTATATCACCTTCGTGTAGATAGTTACGGGTATTAATTTTATGTTTCAAATTGATTTCTATGACCGTTGATACGACATCTGCAGCATTCAAAGTTAGCACAATATTAAAAGAGGATATGGGTGTTGTAAAACGTAATCACAAAGGTTTTTTTTCCTTAATAGCAACAGCAACGGCACTTAGACTTATATACCGCTTCATAGTGCTTTTTACAGCCATCTCTAAGCCGTTTACAGAGTCATCATATTGCCCCCAACAATCTAGGTCCTCATTTTATCCACCTCAGAAGGATGGAAGGCTGAGTCAACCTTGAACCGGAGAGATTTGACCTGCCGAACTGCAGCTAGCAGTCAGCTGAAGTAGACTGCAGTACTGCACTCTAACCACTGCGCCACCTAGGCTCTTTTAAGTTATATCTGAAATGATGTCATCAATAAAAATAAGCAAACAGCTTAGCTAATAAGATTGTCTATTTCTGTAAACTTTTCAGTGGAATAGGAATACATTTTAAATTTATTATTAAATCATGTAGGGCAAAAATTCTTTTCTTCACAAGGAGGCTCAAAACTCTTCGCAACAAAAACATTGTCCTACAGTGTTATTTATCTTAGGATGCTGAAGTCTGTTCTTATTATTTTTATAATCATTATAATGCCAGTTCTTTTTTGCAGGGCAAACCATTAGGTTGCAATTATTACCCTGAATTTTCTGATAGGGGGAATATCTGTGGTATATTTTTGATTATGATATTATTTGAATTTTTCAAGTTTGGATTATTTGAGATGATTGCTTCATCTTGGACAGTTTGTTTTCAATAGTATGCACGTTCTTGACAATAATCACTTAGCTGAATGTTTTGAAGAATGCTCATATAATTTTGTTTTAAGGCTAAATGACATATTTCATTGTCCAGATAAATCACACCATCTCCTGTTCCATTTGAACAAATGAAACCTAAGTCCATAATTGGCTGAGTTTATAGAAGATAAATTTTACACTTCCCTCAAATTGGGAAGATTCCCAGGCTAGCCTACTTCTCTGGGATTCTGAGCAGTTTCTCATCTGATCCCATGTAGCTTCTTCAAAATAAGCCCCGGGCCTCGAATAAAATGGTAGGTATTCCCACTGAAACATGTTTCCACACTATTAGAGCTTCAGTACACAGTTCCTTGCAATTTCCTAGAAAAGGTATTTCCCATTCCTGTCCTGCCACCTCGAATCTATGCAGACTGCAGAGTCTATGTACTGCAGAGCAAGACCATTGAATTCACATTCAAATACTGGAATAGCAGTATTCCAGTATTTGAGGGGCTGCCACAAAGAAGGAGGGGTCAACTTATTTTCCAAAGCACCTGAAGGTAAGACAAGAAACAGCGGATGGAAACTAATCAAGGAGAGAAGCAACCTGGAATTAAGGAGAAACTTCCTAGCAGTGAGGACAATGAACCAGTGGAACAGCTTGCCTTCAGAAGTGGTAGGGGCTTCATCAGTGGGGTTTTTAAAGAAAAGACTAGACAGCCACGTATCTGAAATGGATAGGGTCTTGAGTTTGGAGTAAAAGACCTGCAAGGTTCCTTTAGGCCTCCAAGCTCTATTCTGTTTGGGTCTTAGCAGGCATGAGCTCGCTCAATTGCAGCCTAATTCTGGATAGTTTCGATAAAGGAGAATATTTGTAGTTCAGGGATGACGTGAGGGGTCGTTGGTGATCTCTGAACTTGCTGGTTTTCTTCAGGGGTGGGTTCTAAAAATTTTTTACTACCGGTTTTGTGGGCATGGCTTATTTTGTGGGCATGGCTTGATGGTCATGTGACAATTCTTTAGGATTTAGCAGAGGTACTGGTCTACCAGGCTTTTAACTGCTTGCAGAGTTGTATCGATCTACTCATTTGTTTTTGAGGCACCAGTCTACTCATTTGTTTTTGGAGGCACCAGTCTACTCATTTGTTTTTGGAGGCACTGGTGTACCACCACACTGCCTTTTAACACTGATCAGCTGTAGGGTGGCTCTTTGAAGAGGCAAGAGTTTAAACAGTTTTTTTCCTTCTAGCCGATCAGCTGGGACTCGGGAGGCAGCAATAGATTGGGGATGGGGCCAAAAAAAAGGTAAGAATAATGCGGGGGTAGGGGAGCGGGGGGGGCAGCTCCCGAACAAAGAGAACCAGTTTGGTGACATCATATCATCAGCCGAACCGGGCTGAACCGGGAGGAACCCACCATTGGTTTTCTTGTAGACATCTCATTACCTAAACTAGGCAACATTATCAGTGCTAGCCAAGCTCCAGACTAGAACTGATGGTAAGCCGTGGTAGCGCAGTGGTTAGAATGCAGTCCTGCAGGCTACTTCTGCTGACCTGCAAATTTGGCAGTTCGAATGTCACCAGGATCAAGGTTGACTCAGCCTTCTACCCTTGTGAGGTTGATAAAATGAAGACCCACATTGTTGGGGGGCAATATGCTGACTCTGTAAACTGCTTACAAAGGGCTGTAAAGCACCGTGAAGCGGTATATAAGTCTAAGCGCTATTGCTTATTGCTGCCTAGTTTGGGTAACGAGACGCCTGCAAGAAAACCAGCAAGCTCAAGAGAGCACCAAGGACCCCTTCTGGATAGTCTTCTAATCTAAAGAATATATTTCAGCGAGGAAACACAAGGGCTTCTGGGCCTACAAATCGCACCAACCCCGGCCTGCAAGTCAGGTGGAAGAAGGGAAGCGCAGCCGCTATTGTCCGCTCCACCTCAGCTGCCGCCCTTATCCTTAAGCCTCCTGCCCGAAGCGCCCTTTTACGCGTCAGCCTCTTTTCAGCGCCTGGCAGAAGCCGGAGGCGAGGAGGCTAGGCCTTCCCACCAGCCAATCAGCACTCGGGATACTCAGCACACTGCCCAATCCTGCGCTCCTTTGCTCCCGTGTCCCCCTCCTCCCCGCTTCTATCTTTCTCGCCACCCTCAGCGGCATTTGGAGGGTTGTAGCCGTGGCGGCTCTTCGGGTCGTCTCCTCCTCCTTCTCCTCGTCCTTCGCGGCCTCGTCCTGACCCGGCCCGGCGCCTTTCGGACCCATTGAGGATGAGTTTCCCGGCCCTCCAACGCGCGTCCTTCTGTGACCGTTCTAGCTCCTTCAACTAGCGACTGGTGAGGCAGTCCCAAAAGGAGAAAACTCATCGCGGGCGAGGGTGGGGAAGGGAGCCGGGTGGCCGGAGGGACCGGAGCGGGAGTAGCGAGCGCACCTTCAACACCCCCCGCTCCTCCCCCCGCTCCCACACACTCCAATTCTGGCCTTCTGCTTTTCACACCGACTTGCAGGCAGAAATCCGACAGGTGCAGAGTTTCCAAGTATGGGCAAGAAGAATGAGGTGCCCGGATTAAATTTCTGCACGTCACGGAGATACTAAAGCTGTGTGTGTGTGTGTGTGTGTGTGTTGCTGATCCCAATAGATTTTATTTATTTATTTATTTGTTTCCATTTCTATACCGCCCTTCTCCAAGTAGGACTCAGGGCGGTGAACAGCCAAAGTAAAAAAGCAGAGCATACAAAATTTAAAAAGCAGTATTAAAATAATTAAATATTTTGGCCGTAAATTAAAACAACCCAATTTAAAATCAATTTAAAATTTAACTCAAGCCAGCCCAGCTGAAGAAGAAAGAGCAGAAGAGGGGGAAGGAAGCCTGCAGTCGGTGCAAGGGTGAAAGCGGCTGGGAAAAGATTAGGTGTATAAAAGGAAAGGGAGTTAAGTCTTGCCTCTTCTTCCTAGAGATCAGTCTAGATCAGTGTTTCTCAACCTTGGTAGCTTGAAGATGGGTGGACTTCAACTCCCAGAATCCCCCAGCCAGCAGCGCTGGCTGGGGGATTCTGGGAGTTGAAGTCCACCATCTTCAAGCTTCCAAGGTTGAGAAACACTGGTCTAGATTAAGAAAATGGCATTTCCTTGGGTTACAGTAATGCAGATCCAAAAATTATGGATCACGGTAGCAAAAAAAAAAGGGGGCCTGCCTTTTCTTTTTTGTAGTAGACCTTGTATTCTGCAGTTGCCCAAGAGCAGTACTGTCCTTCTCCTGGTTCTGATCCTGAAGTAAAATTGCACTGTTTTGCGGGTTGCATACTGGGCAGCTTTTTGCATGATTTGTTTGTTTTACTGACAATGCTAAATGCTACCTGACTCTCTCATGTTTCTGTTGCTGAGGTCAGGTCACTTCCTGACTCTTTTTACCCTGACAGTAGCATGATTGCCACATATTAGCAGGTTGTTTATCTTGATAGAATAGAGGAAACCCTACATTGTGAGAAAGGTATCTCATATGGAAATATTTCAACTTTAGAGTGATCAATCACTTTTATCAGCCTTCTTGAGCTTTGTGATCTCCAGGTGTATTAGTTTGCATGCTCCTTAATCCTCAGGTAGGATGGCTTTTAGAAATTTTTTTTTTTTTTTTTTTATTTTTATATTGGATTTCTATACCGCCCTTCTCCCTAAGGACTCAGGGCGGTGTACAGCCAGATTAAAAAACATGCAGAACAAATATTAAAAACAATTAAAAGATATATAAATTTGGCCCAATTAAAACTCATTTACCAATTAAAAACGTTTAAAACATTTAAAAACAGTTAAAAATTTCATCTTAAGCCAGCCCGGCTTGTTTAAATAAATGGGTTTTAAGGGCGCGACGGAAGGCACTGAGGTCTTGGATTCTCCTTATCTCTGGGGGGAGCTGATTCCAGAGGGTAGGTGCCCCCACAGAGAAGGCCCTCCCCCTGGGGGTCACCAGCCTGCATTGTTTGGCTGATGGCACCCCGAGGAGGCCCTCTCTGTGGGAGCGCACGGGTCGCTGGGAGGTCGTCGGTAGCAGCAGGCGGTCTCGCAGATAGCTAGGCCCTATGCCATGGAGCGCTTTAAAGGTGATAACCAACACCTTGAAGCGCACCCGGAAGACAACTGTGAGCCAGTGCAGCTCGCGCAGGAGCGGTGTTACATGGGAGCGCCATGCTACTCCCGTCACTACCCGCGCTGCTGCGTTCTGGACCAGCTGGAGCCTCCGGGTGCTCCTCAAGGGGAGCCCCATGTAGAGAGCGTTGCAGTAGTCAAGGCGAGAGGTGACGAGGGCATGAGTGACTGTGCACAGGGAATCCCGATCAAGAAAGGGCCGCAACTGGCGAATCAGGCGAACCTGACAAAAGGTCCCCCTGGTTACAGCCGTCAGATGTTCCTCCAAGGACAGCTGCATATCCAGGAGGACTCCCAGATTGCGAGCCCTCTCTGTGGGGGCCAATGACTCGCCCCCAATAGTCAGTGATGGAGTCAACTGACTATATCGGGATGCCGGGAGCCACAGCCACTCAGTCTTGGAAGGGTTGAGCTTGAGCCTGTTCCTCCCCATCCAGACCCGTACAGCCTCCAGGCACTGGGACATCACTTCAAGGGCATCGTTGGGGTGGCCTGGGGTGGAGATGTACAGCTGGGTGTCATCAGCGTACTGGTGGTATCTCACCCCAAAGCCACGGATGATCTCACCCAGCGGCTTCACATAAATGTTGAACAGAAGGGGCGAGAGGACCGATCCCTGCGGCACTCCACAAATGAGAGGCCTCGAGGTCGACCTCTGCCCCCCTGCCAACACAAACTGCGACCGGTCGGAGAGAAAGGAGGAGAACCACCGCAACACGGTGCCTCCCACCCCCAACTCTTCCAGCCGGTGCAGCATGATACCATGGTCGATGGTATCAAAAGCCGCTGAGAGGTCTAACAGGACCAGAACAGAGGAACAACCCCTGTCCCGAGCCCTCCAGAGATCATCAACCAACGCGACCAATGCCGTTTCTGTGCTGTGCCCAGACCTGAAACCCGACTGGAACGGATCTAGATAAGATGTTTCCTCCAGGAATTGCGGAAACTGTCATGCGACCACACTCTCAACAACCTTCGCCATAAAGCGAAGGTTGGAGACAGGACGATAGTTGGCCAATATTGCCGGATCCAGGGACGGCTTCTTGAGGAGAGGCCTCACCACCGCCTCTTTCAAGGCGGTGGGGAAGTAACCCTCACTCAACGAAGCGTTGATAACACCCTGGAGCCAGCCTCGTGTAACCTCCCGGGAAGCCAGTACCAACCAGGAGGGACACGGGTCCAGTAAACATGTGGCCGCACTAAGTCTCCCCAAAATCCTGTCCACATCATCAGGAGTCACAGCATCAAACTCCTCCCAGATAACATTCTCAAGACTATTCCTCGTCACCCTGCCCTGATCTACCCAGTCAGAGTCCAAATCCCCCCGGATCTGGGCGATTTTGTCATACAGGTATTGTCCGAAATCCTCCGCCCTGCCTTCTAAGGGATCCTCCCGCACTCCTGGATGGAGCAGGGCGCGGGTCACCCTAAACAGGGCAGCCGGACGATTCCCTGATGACGCAATAGAGGCGGAAAAGTAGTTAGACTTTGCCGTCTCTATCGCCACTAGGTAGGCCTTAATATGCGACCTTACCAGTGTTCGATCAGATTCAGCGAGACTGGCCCTCCAACCGCTCTCCAGGCGTCTTTTCCGGCGCTTCATTTCCCTCAGCTCCTCAGTAAACCAAGGAGCCGCACGGGATCGGCATCGGGTCAGAGGCCGCAAAGGCACAACTCGGTCCAAGGCCCCACCAGCCGCCCGATCCCAGGCGGCTACCAGGTCCTCGGCCGAGTCATGTGCTAGATCCTCAGGAAATGGCCCAAGCTCCGTCTGGAACCTATCAGGATCCATCAGGCGCCTGGGGCGGATCCATCTAATTGGATCCACCTCCCTGCGGCGAGGGGTCGCGGTTCGAAGATCTAGGCGAAGGAGTGAGTGGTCAGACCATGACAAGGGTTCCATGTCTATATCCCCTATAACAAGACCACTCAACCACTGGCCAGAGACAAAAATCAGATCCAGAGTGTGACCTCCCCTGTGAGTAGGGCCATGAACTAACTGGGTCAGGTCCATGGCCGTCATGGAAGCCATGAACTCCCGAGCCACCTCAGACGTTTCACCGACGGATGGCAAGTTGAAATCACCCATGACTAAAAGCCTGGGTGTATCTACTGCCACCGTGGCTATCACGTCGAGTAGCTCAGGTAGGGCTGTTGCCACGCGGCAGGGAGCCAGGTACGTAAGCAACAAGCCCATCTGAACCCCACGGCCCCACCTCACAAGGAGGGACTCACATCCGGCTATCTGAGGCACAGTGGTCTCCCTCGGACCCAGATCCTCGTTAATAATAACCGCCACCCCCCCCCGCCCCTCCCCTGAGCCCTCGGCTGATGGAATGCTCTGAAGCCTGGTGGGCACATTTCAACCAGAGGGACGCCACCCTCCGGGCCCAACCAGGTCTCCGTAATACCCGCCAGGTCCGCTCCTCCCTCTTGTATAAGATCGTGAATGAGGGGGGCCTTATTGACCACGGACCTGGCATTGCACAGCATCAGCCGAAGGCCCAGCTCCTGAGTATCTAAGCCACCTAGTATCCGAGCAGAGCCTTGGGGACCGGGGCAAGCAATTGCTCTCAGACAGCAAGTGCGAGCCCCCAGCACCTGATGTGGTCCCCTGCTCCCGCCATATCTGCCCCTCCCATTCACCGTGCCGATGGTACAGCCCTCATAGATATCGTCCCCCATCCCTTTCCCAATCCCTCGTCCGGTGCCCCCCGGATCGTTACCCTGTGCCGGGCACGGCTCTGACCCTGGTGGATTTCCCCCCCAATCCGCCTTAGTCGTCTTCCCAATATCTTTAAAAGAATAATTACAACCCCCTCCCCCAGAACCCCTTAAAATCTTTAAAAATTTCCCTAAAAAGCCCCATAAATTCTTCCTTGCTCCATGCCATCTCTCCGGACTCCAAAGTCCGTCATCGAGATAGGCCCTCGATAATGTGGGGGGCCAAATCTGCGAGAGGGGAGAATCTCGCAGGGCGAGGAGTTCCGACACCGAATACATATAGCTATCAAGGGGAAACAGTCCAAGGGTGGGGGACCACTGATGTTATAAGCGTAGGGAAAATTCCAGTCCATGGTCAGGCTGCCAAGCTCCACTGTCCTCTCACGACAGTGGCTAAGGAGGTGCATATCATTCGACCCCGAAAGTTTCCAGGGTGGCCGTCTCTCACCAGGCCAATCCATGGGGACT